TTTAAGTAATAAATATTTTACATCAAACTTTTCATAAAATTATTATTTGGAATTCACTATATAAAACTATGAAGAGTTTGAGTCCAAAAGTGCTCTGTGTGTCCATGTGACGAGCTTCAAAAATGCTAAATAAAATTGGTCGGTTTTAGATGACTCGAGCTATAAAAGTTATAATACTTACTCTCTGGTTGTTATAAAGAGATAAAAAGTTATGGGAAATCAATAATAATAATAGTAATAATAATAATAATAATAAAATAATTAACTCACGGAAATTATCGAGAAAGATTATTCTAACATTCCAAATTGTAACATTTCTTTAATTCACAAATTCTATTTAAGCGAAGGAATTTAATCATTTATTCACTCTAAAAATAACTCGAGAATGCTTCTACATGGAAGGTTCAAATTATGTTTAAGGAATACATTTAAATAGAGCAAATTGAGAGTTCTTGAAAATTAGAGAACTAGATGGTTGAACCTTTAACATGTATAAATAACGTCGTAATTTTCTTAACTTCGTGTATCATTATTATTATCATAAAAAATCTTTAACAATAATCATTTAATAAATAACACATTGTCCTTGTTCTTGTTGTTGTCATCGAAATTTTATATTTTCGTAATGACAATACACCTATCTCTAACAATGAATTCAAACTAATCCCGTGCATAATTAATTTTATATTTTTCTCTATTTTTTATTTCTTTTCTTTTCTTTTAGTGAGGCAATATTTAATAAATTTTATTTAGTGAAGTTTGGGAAACGTACTTGACTTGAGTAGGAAGTAACAGAACGAAGGGTGCCCACCAAGAAACGTGATCAGGATATAATGTGAAATCTAAAGAAGATGTTGTTTAGTATTGCTTAGCAAGGAATGGTTTAACGACAATGAAAGATAGTTTTGAGAGTAAAGCATAATAACGCATTCGTGGAAATTGTAGTATAAACAAATTGGAAGAAATTTTATTAGACTTAAATAAATTATTATCATCGAGACTCGGACACAATCTCACAATACTTACTCTCTGATTGTTGTAAAAAAATAAAAAGTGAATTTATTAATTAGATGATGTTTTAACAAAAATTATTTTGTGTTGTAAAGAAAGAAGTTTAACTTTGTAAGGAAGTTTACTTTTTGTAAGGAAGTTGCCACACGATCACTAACTATTAAGTATTTAACTATTAAGCGATTTGGGACTCCTCTATACAATAGAGGGTTTGTAGAGATCCTTGTGTGGTATAGCTTGTAGTATTTTATTTTAATTTTTCTTGAGAAAGGTGTTTGTAAAGTTACCAACACCAATTTCTTTGGCATCATGGCGATGCAATTTATATTTTTTTCCCTGATCTTTTTTTATAAAAGGAATGATGGTATTTAGCCGGATTTTATTTATATTATCTATATGGTATATAAAAAAAAAAAGGTTAATAATAATAATAATAATAACAATGACAGTTGACGATTATGAACAAGGTAAAGGGTTTGATATTTCTCTTTTTATTCGTATTCGAAAAAAAGCAAAAAGAGCAAATGATACCAACTTTTAAAGGCTTTATCGCTATGTTTTAACAGTAAGAAAGATCCGAGTGAATTAATAAATGAAAACTTTTTATTGAAAATATTTTCCTTGATTTAAATGTCATAATTACATCATTATCAATTTTTAATATATATATAAACACAAATGTATATAGGAAAGGTTTGAATCTTAATCGTTCTTAAACAAGAATTCCTGGATAGCGCATCGCACGAAATTGGATCTATTATGGATTAGTTATTTATTTTTATTATTTGAATTTTTTATCTCTATTGATTGATATTTATTTATTTATTATTTATTTAAACTTATCATCATATAATCATTTGCACATTTTTTTGATCAATGCAAGCAAGACAATTGGTTGTAGTGTGTTATTTGTTATCTAGTTAGAAGTTAATAAAATATTGACATCAGTAATTCTCAAGTGTATTATTGCCATAAAATAAGTGGGGGAATAGTGGGTCTATTTATATGCTTTATAGTAATAAATCAGACTATTTCTTGGATCGGTGGTGCCATTTGCTATCTAGTTAAATTTAAACATTTAGTTTTGAATAGTGTATATAGTGAAATATTGCATATTTATCCCAAATATGAAATATATTTATGGTACTAAGCGGGGAGATAGCATGTTTATTTATATGTTTGCGCATTTCTTTTATGTTTGTCAAATTTTTTAAAAGAACAAATTCTCATTTTTTTTCATTGAGCTAGATCATAGGAATTTGGCAAAAAAATCAATTAGCATTTATTTACAGTATACATAAATATAAATTGGTCTAACCAATTTATCTAATATTTAAAGGATTTAGATGTTCCATATTTTAAAAATGTTCCAAAGTGAAAATAAAAAACTTCAAACTTTGAAAATCAAATAGCCATTAAACAAATGGCATTTCTAGGGTACATTGTTGTAGAGGGCGAATCTGCCAAAGCCTTAGCAGTTATGGAGAATCAAGAGGGCCGGGGAATTTATCCATTGAGATGAATGTAGCTAGTGTGTCATTAGAGGACTTGGAAAACAATCAGGCTATTTAAGGATTACGAAAAATTCTTGTGAATACGGTTCGATAGAGAACCTCAACAAAGTAAATTATTAGTACGAGGGTTTAGACAAAAATGTGGATTTTGAGAACTGTTAGCGAAATCAATGATCCAAAAAAAAAAACAGGACATGATAATAATAGTAAAAAATGTTTTTAGCATTTTTAGTAATAAACAAATAATCAATTGATTTTAATAAAACAATTAATTCAATTGTCAATTAACAAACTAAACGCATAACTCTTTTCTTAAAAAGTAAACAAATCAATGGTACAATCCAAAAAAACAGGACAAATGATAACAATAGTAAAAATGTTTTTAATAATAGAATGGTGCTTTTCTTATAAAAGTAAAATAAACAAATCAACAGTATGATCTTTATCACACTAACTAATATTAAACGAAAAAAGAAAGATGCTTCGCCACCACCAAAAAGTTATTCTATATATGATAAAATAAATAAATAACAAAAAACAATAATGAATTCAATTAAATAGCTTATTAAATGTAAAATGAACAAAATTTTTTGTTTTTACCAAACAGTTCTCTTCGGTTGGAAAAAAAGATATTTATTACGATTGCACGATAAATGTTTATCGTGTGGAAAAAAAAAGGATCATGTAGATCGATTTCAGAAAAATAAAAAAAAATTTCTTTTTGAAATTTACCAAAAAATTAGATTTGAAAAACAAAGGTTTTGGTTGCAATTGCAATTTGCAAATTTGCCGTACGACACAATTATTGCTAAATATGATGAAAACGTTGGTTGCGCCAAAAGCTGAAAAAACCAAGCGCGGCTAAACGCAAAAGGAGACAATCGGCACGAAAGTCGCTTGCCTTACTGATTTTGGAAGGTGGTCGTGACACGGCAAATGTTTCGTTCTTACTTGTGTTAATAACAAGTAGTAAATGACGATACGTTTTTTTGAGGATTTCATACCGCGGAGTCTTCGACATATCACGAATGGGACAAAAAAAAAGCAAAATGAGTCAAATAATGATACATATGGCTTAAGGCGAGTTACTTCTTTATGGTTAGTAATTTTCATTTTGTTTTATCATTAATTATACAAACTCGCTTTATTTTTTAATTTTTTAGTTATTAAAAACAGATATACATTTGAGATGATCCTGATTGTTGTCAATCAATTCATGTCATCATCAATGATGCATTTTGGCATTTAACATTAATAATTAATATTAGTCATTCATTATTAATCATTCTATTTATTATATTTTATTGGACAAAATCATGTAAAAAGTTATGTTGTTTGTAATACTTCAAGAAGTATAAATATACTTGAAATTTCCTTCAAATATACATTTAATAATAAAAACTATAGTTAATTAATAAAGCTTGTGTGGTTGATTCATAATCCTTTCTGGTGATTAATGGTTTGGCCAACCCTTTTGATTTTAATATATTGCTTGTAGTGATGCTCGAGTAGTATATTTCTATTTTTTTTTTAGAACATACGAATCTGCAAAGAAAACTGAGACACTTGACCAGAACTCGCCTGCAATAATAGTACTGGAAAGAAAACCTTGTCCTTGACCAGAACTAGGTTTCTATTCGAATTAATGAATAATTCGAAATAAAATAAAAACGAATGATTCGAAATAAAATAAAAACGAATGATTCGAAATAAAACGAATGATTCGAAATAAAATAAAAACGAATGGTTCGAAATAAAATAAAAACGAATGGTTCGAAATAAAACGAATGATTTCGAATAAGAATTTGCATTACGAATTTACGAATAGAAACTCTAGCAGAAATGATGGTAAACTTTGAATTTTATTTATTGTGAGGTATGCACCCCGCTGATCATTACCAATTATTTTGTTGATATAATAACAATGAAATAGATTTTTTCCACAATGACAAAATTTCAATCACAAAAAGTCTAATAGAAATATGATGCTTTAATAAGTGATTCAGAAAATAATGGTAAGAATTATCCAATAGAAATAAAATTAGATTCTTATAATTTATTCTAAATACACAGTGGGTCTCGATTTAACGGACCTCGATTTAGCGGATTTAGGGGTTTAATGGATAAATTTTCAAAACCAAATTTTTCTAATTATTTTATCTCGATTTAACGGATTTAACGGATTTTCATATATTAATATTAATATATTCGATTTAGCGGATATTTTTTAAAAATCCATGTATGTCACTTATAATAAAATTCTCTCGATATTACGGAAGGACCCCGGAAACTTCTAATTGAGGTCCCAGGCAAACCAAGGGTAAAAAACATATAGAAAAGTGAAAAATGTCACCATTATTGATAGAGTAAAATTACTATAGATATAAAATTTTTTTTAAGGTCTCTATTATGTTTTGGGTAAATCAATTAGTAAAATTTTTAAGGGTTACACACATGTGCAAAAATTAAAATTAAATGGAGAATAATAAAATTCAAACCACACTTAATTTCCCAATATTATACACTAAAAAAGCAAAAGAAAAAGTTATAATAGACTCAAATTTATCTAATGATAGTATAAATTTAGCACAAACTATTAACAAAAAATGCGAATTCATAGAGTATAATGATAATGATGATGATGGTTGTGTAGTAGAATGTAATAATGATATAGATTTAGCACAAACTATTAACAAAAAACACAAATTCATAGAGTATATTAATGACAATAATGATAATGATGGTTGTATAGTAGAATGTAATAATAATAATGATAATGATAAAGATTGTGAAAGTGAAAATAATGACTATACAGAAGATTTTTACTATGATCATTATAATTATTTGGATGATAATTATAATTATGATGATGATTATGATAGTGATTGTAATGATGATGTTGAA